TCCATGGATTCAACCAACGGTAGATCAAAAATATTTGAAAAAAATTGTGTATTTACTGAACATGAACAGACTTTTGTTCTTGTCATTACTTCCTAAAAATACAGTATAGTTAGTTACATAATATTTACATTATATTAGATATTATAAGTCATATAGAGAGCATCTAAAGTATATGGGATAATGTGCACAAACTATGCCATTTTATATAAGGCCTTGAATGTCCACGAATTTGGGTATCCTCAGGGGATCCTAGAACCAATCTGCTCTTTTTCCCCTGCCACACACAAAAATCTTGGGCTACTATAACAAAACACTGTAAATGGAGTGGCTTTAAACAACAAAGCTTTATTTCTCATAGTTCTTGAGTCATTGTTCTCCAGGATCAAGGTGCTGGCAGATTTGGTGTCTGGTGAGGACCTGCTTCCTGGCTCACAGGGAGCCTCTTCCTTGTGTGTTCTCACCTGGTGGAAGAGACAAGGCAACTCTCTATAAGGGCACTAATCCATGAGGACTCTGCCCTCACAATCTAATGACCTCCAGAGTCTTCCCTCTCCAGACCATCACCTTGAGATTAGATACCCAACATATGAATTTTGGAGGTACATACATTTCAGTCCACAGTATGTATGTATATATGCAGACATATGTATATCAAAATTGGATTATGTTGACTTATGTTTCTTACCCTGCTTTTTAAACTAGTGTATTATTGGTATCTTTTACATGGCACTAAACATCTTCCACAATATAGTTTTGTCATAGATACAGCATCTTCTATCTAGGTCACTTATTCAATTTCCTATTATTGGGTCATTAGGCTATTTATAGTTTTTATCACTATATGCTACTCTGGGATAACTTCCTTTGTAGTTAATTTAATTTTAGTCCACTCATGATTATAGATTTTTGACATAAACCAAAACCAAACCAAAAACCAAAAATAAAACAAAAACAAATAGCATCCCCTGCTACTCCCTTCTAGATCCCCGAGTCTGGAAATCTGGTAATTAGGACATGGGACATTGAATTAGTTGGTTCGCTCCTCAAAATTCTCTGGTGAGCTATTGGTACTGTGAGATTACAGAGAAATCAAAGTTAGTTTTAAAAGAATCCTATTTGTGGAAGTCATGTTTTTCTTTGTTAAAAAGTAGTTGTAAGTAAATCTATGAAAAAAAATGTTCAACATCATTAGCAATTTAGGGAAATGCAAATCAAACCTACACTGAGATCTCATCTCACACAAGTCAGAATGACTGTCATCAAGAATACAAACAATAATAAAGGCTGGAGAGGTTATGGAGAACAAGGAACACTTCTACATTGTTGGTGAAATTATAAATTAGTACAACATCTATGGAAATCAGCATGAAGGTTCCTCAAAAGACTATAGATGGAACCACCATATGACCCAGCTACACTACTTCTCAATAAATACTAAAGAATTAAAGTCATCATACTGTGGTGACTATGCATGTTTATAGCAGCACAATTCACAATAGCCAAACTATGTAATCAGCCTAGGTGTCCATGAATAAATGGGTGGACAAAGAAAAGGAGGTATATATTCACAATGAATGGAGTTTTATTCAGCCATAAAGAAGATAAAATTATGTCATTTGTAGGAAAATGGATAGAACTAGAGCTACTATGCTAAGTGAAATAAGCCAAACCCAGAAGGTCAGTGGTCCTATGTTTTCTAGAGAAGAAAGAGGAAAAAGAAAGGTGTGTATGGGTGGGTGGGGGAATTCATGAAAATCTAAGGGAGATTAATAGAATAGAGGAAAGGGCCCAAGGATGGAGGAGGGTAGGGGGAAGAAGTGCTGGGAGTTATATTGGCCAAATTATACTGTTATATTGTGTGAATGTATTTAACAAAAAATCCCACCATTATCTATAATTATAATGCACCAATAAAAAGGTGAAAAATGGTAAAAAAAATGTTTATAGGATTTAAGGGAGATAGATGTTGCTTGTCGGACAATTGAAATTAATATATGTATGTGTCCAGATCACTAAAGTTCACTTTCCCTCCTTTTCCCTAGGATGGTGACAGAGGTGTCTGTTGATGGGAGACTTAGGGCATGATCTGAATACCACAGAGAAATGGAAGACTTTATCTTCCCCTTTCCTGCAGATTCTCCTTCTATTAAGGCAATCTGTGACTATGTGGGGTCATAGTGAGCTTCCTATAAAGTCATATTGACTCCATGTTCACTGCTGAGCCATGTCTTTCTTTGGACAGTGGGTTCTTGGGTGTAGATCATAGACTTTGGACTGAGCCACATCCCCAGCCCTATTTTGTATTATTTAGAGACAGGGTCTCACTGAGTTGCTTAGCACCTCACTTTTTCTGAGGCTGGCTTTGAACTCACAATCCTCCTGCCTCAGCCTCCCGAGAGGCTGAGATTATAAGCATGCACCACTGTGCCACTGAGTTTTGAACGACAGAATCCTTGCTTCTTTTGGTCTTTGTTTTTCCCATCTGTCTAGTGTTTAGAGGTAGGAAATGAACCAGGCCATGTGTAGAGACCTTTCTTTTGGCCACAGCTTTGGTTCTGTGAATTAATTTGTTTATCTTAACCTCCAAATCTGGGTTTTAAGGACCAGGAGTAGAGTTATCAGTGACTTTCTTGGTAGCCACCACAGGTATGACCTAGCAGGTGTAGACCGTGGTCCAGGGAAAGGAGCTCTGTCACCTGTGCATCTTGCCACCTCAGTCATTGTCACTACTGAGTCACAGAGCATTTAACTTATACCATTTTATGCTTACATTGGAGCAAGACCTAGGCTGAGAGCAAAACCTATCTTAGGCATCCTGTCCAGGGCTGAGCCTGAGGCCATGTCCCCTTCCAGGTTTCTATCAAACCTGTCCCTGGCCACTCTTCCCTGGGATCTTCAACATGTGTGGTTCTCAGCTCCCAGCCATTGGTAACACCCTTGTCAGACATGTCAGGCACTTTCTCCAGTCTTCTTTCTAATTTTCATTTAAAATTAAACTTGCATTTCCGAGTTTAAAAGAAATTCATGTCTATTGTAGAAAAGTGAGCAAAATCTGAAACAGGCAGAAAAATACAAATCATTAGCATCCTCCTCCAAAAAGGGACCATCATTCTTAATTTTGGTCTTGTCACACCTTAGGTTCTCTTTGTCAGTGAGTGCCCTTTGGGGAGGAATACTAGGGCGGCGAGGGCGAGGGGGATAGGCCTTTCCATAAATGTGGGGCCAGGTCCTCAGGAAGACTCTTCGCTCATGGTGCCAGCACAACCATCCTTCCTAGCAAAATTGTGACTCCCCATAGGGGCCTCTCTCTGTGCCTGGTGTCAGTGCATGTCTGTGAAGGAGCCACTAGGAGCAGTGGAACAGTCAGAATTTGAGATTCCACTGAATGCACAGTAGGCTAGAAGCCAGACAGTTCACAGGGCAGGGGAAGTGGTTTTCAAAATTCCTTGTACACTTGGCCTTGGTGATGTATCTTACATTCATCTTAGATCTGCTTACCTGCTGTATGAGCTGCTCTGTCAAAACTGAAGCAGGAAGGGTGGCTGCATTTAAACCTTCCCTTGTACTAAGGCTGGTCCTACTTCTGCAATGAACTGTGCAAACTTGGAGCTCAGTTTCTTGATGTGGAGGGTGGAGATGAGTAATGCCCACCCCTCAGGGGGGCCATAATGGTAAAGACAGGTGTTGGTGGGTCATGGTCAAGGTGAGCTTCTTTTTGTCTCTGAGAAAGATGGTCAAGGAGGGGCCTGACCCTGGCACTGGGAAGCCTGGCCCTGGAGAATGAGGGTGGGGACATTCCAGTCAGCATAGCTGATGTTCTGAAAGCTGATCTCTAGGTGGGTGCCAAGTCTGAGGGACTTTGAAGGCCCTGGTGGGCATGGACCTCGTCTCTCATGATCACTGTCCCCAGGTGGCCTGTGGAAGGATTCCAGACCATGCTAGAATGGCAGGATGACAGCACAAAGCTCATCTGCAACCTGCAGGCATGCCCAAGACAGCAGGGGAATTGGGGACACAGGGGTACTCTTCTTGGTGTGGCCCTCAGCTCTTGCTTGAGATTCCTTCAGAAATTCTAGCACAGCATGCCATGTCTGCCACCACCATCAGCCAAGAGGCAACCATGGGTGAGAGGGACAAACCTGGGCCTGGACCTACACTAGGTGCTCTGCAAACCAACTGCCTCAGAGACTTTTAAAGCCCAGTTCTCCATATCTTTGAGTGATAAATAATATCTAACAGTTCTGCTGATGGAATTGTTAGATCCAAATACCTCAGTAAGTATTTATGTCCCTAGAACTTTATGCCCATTTAAAAAGTACACTTTTTGAAGGGAAAAAAACATTTCTTTTTCATTTCTAAGTAGCTACCATTCCTTTGTAATGGGATTGTGTAGCTGATGGTCTTCATTCAGTGTCTCTAGTCTTGGAGTCATACTGGATGCCACCGCCCTCATTTTATATTCTGCATGGAATTTCATGTGGTGCTTGCAAAATCCCATTTCATAAAGATATGACACCCTGAAAAGGAATGCAGCATGGTCTCATGTTGAAGTGTGAGCTGCTTGAATGGCAGCTGACCGATGTGGCTGGTTTCCCTCCGGTATTTAAAACATCCTTGCACTGCCTTAAAGTGAGTTCTTAGGGGTGTCCTGGCACATAGTTTGGGAGTGTGGATCTGCATTGGATCTGATTAATGATCTGTAATGTGGGTATTATCCCAGTTTATAGAAGTCAAGGCTCAGAGTAGCCAAGATCTTGGCATAAGGCCGCACAGCTGGATTTTTGGGGAGACTAGGCCTCTCTGGTACTCTGATAATCCTTTGGAATATTAACAGATCTCTTGAGTTATACATCTTGGGGCCTTGAGCACTTGTCCTCCCTGTGATGTCTGAAGCCAAATGGATTCAATTTGCCTCTTTTAGGCCCCAGACCCTTCCCTCCCTTCAAGCCCCCCAGGAGACAGAGTGTGGACAATGAGCCTGTTGTTTTTCCTTCCTCCAGGGGGTCCACTGTGTTCTTGCTGTGTCCCAGATCCCATGGGGCTCTCCTTCCTCCCCACCTATGGCTGCCAGAGTAACCGCACAGCCAGTGTGGCTGCCCTGCGCATGAAAGCCCGTGAGCACTCGGAAGCCGTCCTGCAGTCGGCCAACCTTCTGCCATCCACCAGCAGCAGCCCCAGCCCTGCTGCCAAGCCAGCTCCCTCCGACAGCAGCCAGGACAAGACCCCTCCCACCAAGGAACAGAGCGAGGGAGAGAAGAGTGTATGAGGGTCCAGAGTGCCCCCGCCTGCTGTGTCCTCCTCCCTGCCCTCCTGCTTCTCCCAGCCTCAGCCCTGCAAACTCTGATAGCAAGGAGAAGCCTGTTGCCTGGGGCTCGTGGACCCAGGAAAGGATATCAAGCTCCCTTGGTGCCTGGGGAGTCTGACAGTGGGGCTGGCTTCTTGGGTGACAGGTCCTGATGGCACTTGTAGCATCGGAGTCCCTTCTGTGATGAGACCCCTGAGTTCTCATCCAGACCTACAAGTCTTGGAGGGGAGGCAGATTTGCTTGCCCATCACCTTTCCTGTCCCATTCCAGGGCCACCGTTGCAGGTCTTCTCAACCCCAAGAACTATGGCAGGGTCATCCTTGAGAGACATCCAGGGCTGACGTCTTATGATATGAAATGGGACTGTCCCCATGGCATTGGTTAAGAACCACAGAACTGGTAGAATCTCAAACAACTCTTGGCTCAGGCTAGACTAGCAGTAAACCCTTTTCTCTTATTGGGGGGTATTGGTTGTAGGCTTGGTTAGAAGGGGAGAACACGTGGGGTGGGAAAGGGCTGATAGGACAAAGCCTGCTCCAGGGGTACATGGTGCTCTCTCCTAGCAGATCTCACTTGGGCACATCTGGCTGGGCTAATCAGGCTGGCCATGGGTTCCATGAACTGGGGGCCACCATCTTGACACTGGGAGCAAGTGGGGGTCCCCACAACTGAATCATCTACCTGCGGGTTCTGCCTCTCTCCTGGAAAGACCTGGAGGTTGGTAGAGAAGTTGATCAACTGGAAGGCAACTCTCTTGCCCAGGAAAAGGTGAGAGCCCTTGGAGGGGAAGAAGCCCCTAGGAACACCTCTGAAAAAAATACTACATATCTGGATGAACCACCTTCCTCAAATCCCTGGCACCTGGAGGGGATCTCCAGTGGTGATGCTTTTTTTTTGTTTTTTTCTTTTAAACTGGGGAAATCAAATGTAGGAAATGAGACAGAAATGGCACATGTGCTGAGATGAAGCTTGGGGAAGACGGCTTCCTTGTGGTGTGAAGAGAATTAATTCCAAAGGGCCAAATATCATGGAGATTTCTGTTTCTGTCCAGAGTGGCCATTTCTCTCGCGTGGATGGTAACCTCGAAGAGATTGAAGGGGAATTGTGCAATAGCATGAGCCCCGCCCCTTGCCCCATACCTGAAAGGTTATGGGTTTTTGGTGGCTTTTGCTGATGGTGTTCCCATGCAAACTGTCATTGTTTTTATGATGATTACTTTCATTTCAGTTGTAATCAAAACGTTATACTTTCAGATCCCCCCTTTTTAGCCTCCCCTGGAACCCCCAAACCCTGAGTGTATCGTGCCTGTCTATGATTACTGCAAAGCATTTGACAAAACATACTGTCTCCTTTAAAGAAAAAAAAATCAAATCCTTCTTCCTGCTGTATTTTGCTTGTTGAGTACAAAAATGAAACGATTTGCCAAAAAGCGGCAAAGTCGCTTCCGTTTCCCTGTAATTACGAATGTTGGGTTGAGCGATGTAAGCTCAAGCCCTTACGCACACTAACTCTTCAATCTAATTGTTTGATTAAACTCGTATTTCCTCCAGAAAGGTACATAAATAAGTGAACTGTTGGGCAAATTAAGAATACTTAACAGCATTGCATCCGAAAAGTAGTTACGCTGATTAAATTTTGTGTCCTTGAGGACTTTCAGGAAATTACTTTTGATCGTCAATAACACAATTAAGTAAACTACACACACATTAGCATGAATAATTGATAAGAAATTATGTATTACCACGAAGCACTGATTTAATAATTCATGACGCGACACTCTAGTGACTGTGCAAAACTGGATAACATCGAAAAGTCTGCCTGACGTTACGGAAAGAAAGGAAAGAAGCAAGCGCCAAACCTCTGCAGAGATATTGAGTACTTAGTTTTGTTGTACAGAGGCAAAAAAGTAACTGATGCATGATGTAGTTTCTGTTTGTTTAAATACCCAAATAAATTTAGAAGAGTTAAAAGAAAAACGGAAAAAATCAGGTCCTCTCTTTGTTCCTCCTGGCCCTGGGGCTGCAGGGATGGGTGGAGTCTTTTCTTTCCAATTCTCCACTTTGGTCGTTGTGCAAATGGAAACCTTTTAGAAACTTCCAGGAGAGCTTTGAGGCCTTCGCTGAAAGCTTTAGCAGATGCAGACAGAGGTCTCAGTGCAAGCCAAGAGCACTCCCCAGGTGCCCAAGCATGCAGAAGTCAGTCCTTCTGTCCCAGGATGGGTGGACATAGCCTGCCGGATCCCCTTTATGGTTGTCCTTGGTGAAGTAACCTTTTGGGCAGTCATCTCTGGAGCCTCAGTAGTTCACCCTGTCTGCAAAAGTTCATAATGTGACCATAAAAAGGCAGTCAGGCTTCAGTCTGGGAAGGAGGTGCAGGCCCCAGGGATTGACTGATTGATTAATTATTATTATTCATTTATTGGTTGAAACACTCTGAAGAGCATGCCTTAATGCACTCCAGGTTATGGGAATGGAGCCTAGAAACCACTGAAGTCACGACAGGGGCAGCAGCTTCCTCCTGCAGGATGATGGCTCTGAGAGGAGACACAAAGGTGGGGGTGACAGGGTGCGAGGGTGAGTGGTCATGACACAGGACACTGCAGGACTCACGGGATCCCTTCTGCATTCCTTGGTTGGTGCTTTATTTAGGAATAGCCAGCACTTGGCTTCTCAACTGGGTGGAAAGAGCTTCCCTAGACTCTGCTACTGCCTCATTGCCTGGGAACTTTGCCTGGGAGCATCACTAATCTGAAAATCCAAAGTCCAAAATTCTCCAAAACCTAAGGCTTTTTGGGTACCAACATGACACCATAATTGGAAAATTTCACTACATGAAACTTTGTTTCATGCACAAAATTATTAAAAATATTGTATGAAATTACTTTCAGTCTCTTTGTGTAAAGAGTATATTAAACATATAAATTTTGTGGTTAGACTTGGGTCCTCTCCCCAAGATAACTGTCATGTTTATGCAAATATTTCAAAATTTGAAGGAAAAAAGCCCAAAGCAAAAATCTGAAACACTTCTGGTTCCAAGTATTTTGGATAAGATTACTCTTCCCATTTCATAGATACAGAAACCAAGGCACAGGAGGGTTGGGCAACTTCTCCAAAGTGAAATGGGTGGTAGCCTCCAATAAGGAAGAGGGAGAGCTCAGTCCCTTTTCCTGTCACACAGTGAGTGCTTAATAGATGAATTGATGAAATTAACTAGGTGGAGTCTTTAAGGCTCCAAAGGATAATGGAAACTTATGAAGGCCTGTTGAATCAGGCATGTTTGACAGACTGTGAATAGTGGGTAACTTTCTTTGCTTTTGCTTGCTGTTTGTGGGTTCTGTCCTGAGTGGGTTTGTGGAAAGGAAGGATGCCACCCCAGGGCCTTGTCAGACCCCACTCAACATCTCTTAGTCTGGCTTGGCAGGGGCAGAGCTCAGCTTCCCCCATTTGATCTGCCTCTGGACCAGTGTATCTGACCTTACCATGTGTTTCAGTCTGTCCCAGAGCAGGCCCAGTGGGGATTCCCAATGTGGATGGTGCCCAGAACTCATGGGCCTCTCCAGTGGTTTTCTAAAGAGGTCACCAAGAAGCGGCTGGAGACTGAATCAATCCACATAATGGACACTCTTCTTAAATTTCTAACTTCACCAGAAAAAGTGAAACATTTGTTGTTTTGGGGTTTGTTCTTCTTGCAATGCTGGGGATGGAATCTAGGTCCTTGCTCATACTTGGCAAGCCCTCTACCACTGAGCTACATTTTCAGCCCCCAAAATGAAACTGACAAACCCAGAGCTTGGCTGAAGCAGTGAAGGGCACATTCTGCCTGTGTGAAACCCCAGCTCTTAAGGATGTGTGACTCTGGGCAAGTCTTGGAACCTCTCTGTGCTTTGATTCTCTTACTAATAATGGCAGCAACCTCCTAGGGTTCTTTGAAGATTAAATGAGTCAGAAGCTCATGGTGCCTGGCACAGAGGAAGTGCAATATGAAGCCTAGCTCTTGTCCCACCAAGTCCCACACATATCAAAGGCTTGAAGATGTTTTTCTGGTGAAAAACCTTAATGTTCTCAAGAAGGCAACAGGATGGGTGGGCTTCCAGAGGGAGTTGGAATGGCCACACCCAGTCCCTGAGCAAGTCACTGGGCTCAGAAGGGCAAGACTTCCAGGAGCGGGTGTGTGCCCAGGCTCCAAGGATGTAGACAGCACCTGAGAACTTGAATGGGAACCTGTGGAACCCAGAGGCGGGTGTAAGGGTGGAGGGAGGGGTGCTGGCAGGGAAAAGAAAGTAAAGGCTCTTTTAGTTGTAAGTAAAATTAAAACCAGTGTAAGTCAGAAGGATACTGGATGATCCCACGGAGCTCCAGGTAACTGGGGCTTTAGTGGGACAGGCATCACGAAGGAGGTTGAGACTCTGCCTCCTTCCCAGTGCTCTCTGGCCCTCCCCTCTGTTTGTTCCCCTGCAGGGGTGTCCCCTCCCCTTTATCTCTCCAGAGCTTCACTCAGTTTTAGCCCAGACCTTGGTTGGTTCGCTGTGGTTTGGAGCCCCTGCCACACTCCTACTACAGTGAATGTGATTGGTCCCACCTTGGGTCGGGTAAACATCTCTGGTCCAATAGGGTGTGTCCAATCATGGCTCCTCTGGCTCTGCCCTGCCTGGGTCCTCCAAGAGCTCATGTGTTGAAACAATGTAAAAATTTCAGAGGTGAAATGATTAGATGATGAAAGGTGTAACCACCAATATGGATTAATTGTAGGCAGGTAGGGTGTGGTTGGAGGAAGCAGGTGGGGGGGTGCCTTTGGGGTTTATATTTTGTCCTCGGTAAGTGGAGCTCTGTCTTTTCTGCCTGGTGGCCATGTCCTGAGCGGCTTTCCTCTGCTTTGCCCTTCCATAGTGATGCTCTGCCTTACCCCAGGCCCAGAGCTATGGAGTTGGCCAGTCATGGATGGAGCCTCTGAAACCCTGAGCCAAAATAAACTTTTCCTTCTCGACATTGTTCTTGTCAGGTATATTGGTCACAGCAATGCAAAAGCTGACGAAAACAGATGT